TTAACTGGGAATTGGTCCTGCTTCGAGCAGGGGGTTGGACTAGATGACCTTCTGGGGTCCCTTCCAACCCTGATATTCTATGATTCTATGATCTGTTCAGTAACACAGCCTCTCCTATTGCTTTTTTTTTATTCACTAAAAATCTTTTTTCTTTGCCCTGTGCTTATTTTTTCCTCTCTTTCTATTATTTAAAAATGATCTCTCCTTACTAAACCTAACCAAACAATCTTTCTTCTCTTTAATAATCTTTCTTTCCTTTTTCCCTCTAAACCTAACAAAAGCTTTCTTTTTTTAATCTTTAAGTTATCTCACTCTATTCTTTCAAACTTTTGCTCTAAACAATCAACCAAATGTATCAAAGCACAAGAATGCAACATTCCCCCTATTCAAACATAAAAAAAATTTTTTTTTCAAAATGGCTGATGTCACCAAACCTTGACACCAATGGAAACAGGAACAGAGGGCAGGACATAAGCCCTAAAGAAGGGGGTGGAAACCTGTCAAAAATACATGGTGATGAATACTATTGAGGTATATACTACTTGTGTGTCAAGACCAGTTTTCCTGGGCTACTTACTACTAAAGTCTCTTTAGTTTGGGGCATGGCCCCACTAGTCCAGTTGCCCTGCAGTTGGGGCTTATCTGCAGGCTCCCCTTGGCAGGGGAAGATTTACTTGCTTCCAGTGGCCGTGCTGGTTGGCAGGTCACCAATCTCTTCGGGCAGACAAACAGAGAGCTCCTGCCTCCTCATTAGTCAGCTCCCAGGTGAGCCCAGCTCTCTTCTTTTCTCCCCCCTCCAGGCCTGGCATTGGCTGCAGATATAGCAGGGCAGGGCTAGCTGCACCCAAAGGTTTTCTTTAACTCCTGCCATGCCAGGTGGCAGTTTCTCTGCTCCCTGACACATTCCCTCCCATGACTCCATTTGGGGTCTGTCACCCCCCATCCCCAACTGCCCTCCACCATCCCATGAAAAGAAGTCCGCATTCAGATGAGCTCTCCTAGCCCAGAGCTGGATGCAGAAGAAGGGCTGAAGGCAAAAGTACCATCTTATGATTTAGGGGGTTGTGTTTTTCATGGCATGTAGCCAATGGAGAGGGGCAAGGTCAATGACTAGGGTGAAGTGCATGCCCAGGACTTAATAATGGAATGAATCCATAGCCCATTTTACCGCTAAGGCTTCTTTCTCGATTAGGAAGTAGGCCTTCTGCTTCAGATACAGCTTCTGGCTAATGTACAGTATGAGGTGTTCGTTACCTCCTACTACTTGCCATAGAACGGCTCCTAGGCCTACATCTGAGGTGTTCGTCTGTAACAAGAACTCCTTGGTGAAGTCAGGGCTGTACAAGATGAATTCCTGACTGAGCTGGGCTTTCAGAGTTTGAAAAGCCTCCTCACAGGCTCTGGTTCACTGAATCCTTTTGGGACTCTCATTTGTGAGGAGATCAGAAAGAGGAGCCATAATGAAGGAGAACCCTGGAATAAAGCGGCGGTAGTACCCAGCCAGTCCTAGAAATCAGTATATTTGTTTCTTTGAGGGGGGCGGCACAGCTGGAGGACCTGAACCTTGCTAATCAAGGGTCGGACTGTGCCCTTTCCCAATATGTACCTGAGGTAGGTGGTCTCATCCTTACCCAGGTGACATTAAGTGGGGTTTGCTGTCAGGCTGGCCTCTTCGAGGGACTGTAGCATCACGGTCACGTTTCAAGTGGTTCTGCCAGTCGTGACTATAAATCATCATGTTGTCTAGGGATGCAGCTGAATACCAGCTATGGGGGTGGAGAACTTGGTCCATTAGTTGCTGTAATGTGGCCGGGGGGCCCACGCAAACTGAAGGGCATGATCTTGAATTGGAAGAGACCAAAGAGGGTAGAGAGAGGTGTCTTTTCCCTGGAGTTGGGTGTGAGGGGGTTCTGCCAATATCCTTTTGTTAAGTCCAGAGTGCTGATGTACTCTGCCTTTCCTAGCAGGTCAAGCAGCTCATCAACGCATGACATCGGGTACGCATTGAACTTTGATACTGCGTTGACCTTGTGGAAGTCAATGCAAAAGTGGGTGGTTCCATCAGGTTTAGGGATCAATAATACATGGCTTTTCCAGTCACTGAAAGACTCCTTGATCATCCCCAATGCTAGCATTGAGTGGAGTTCCTGTTTCATGGTCTCTCTTAGTTTCTGGGGAAGGGGCTGAGGGTTTTCCCTGACCTTAACTCCTGGTTCCGTCTGAATATGATGGGTTATCAGGTGAATCTGCCCTGGTTGGGTCGAGAAAACAGAAGAGAAGGCAGTGATCAGTTGCTGCACCTGATTTCTCTGCTCTGGAGTAAGATTGTTCCCAACCTTGTAGTAATTGGTAATTTAGGTAAAATATCTTGCATATTTGTTAGAATGTGGCGAATTGAAAAGTGTAAAGTAGGTAAAAATGAACTAATTTATATCATTTAAACTTATTTACACAGAATATATTTCTCTTCTTTAGAAGGGCCCTCTGTTCTGTAACTTAATGCATAATTCCAGACCTGGAATGACTGTTTGCCTTGATAAAACTTCCTTCTGATGTCCAGAATATTGATGTGAAGAACTGGATTTGAATTTCAGCGGGGATAAAATGTGAAGACCAAAATATGAGACTGGAGCTTCAGTAAGGCTACCTTATTCTTTAACATAAAATAACAGGATCCCAGCATATAATACTGTTACCAGATTTGGCCATTACTTTGGGGTATGCTCATTTATTAGGGTTACTCTTCTGGGTGAGGGAGGTCTGTAGTTCTATCAATGTACGGCTTGTGTTATTGTGTTATCATACGGAGCTGTACTTCTCCCTGCTGCAAGTTCCCTCCCAATGGAGGTTAATCAGCACTCCCAAGCTGACCCCTTATATGACCCTGGACTCAGTAGGCTGGGTCAAGCAGCATTTCCGAGTTGTCACCCTCGTAGGTCATGGGCCCCGCACCGGAACAGAGCACGCCTGAGCAGGCTGGGTCAAGCAGCACTTCCAAGCTGCCATCCTCATATGTCCCAGGTTCAGCATGTCCCTCTCCCTACTTTCACGTTACAATTGTTCTGGTAGTAACCCACTTGATGAGCAAACACCACAGGATTTTTGGGCGCTGCAGGGGTCTTTAGCTTAGGTATGAGGAGTGTTGCTGCAGAGCGAATGAGGAAGCCAAAGAACACCCACGAGGGGGAGAGAGAGAGAGAAAGAGAGAGAGAAGCAACCAGCTTAACCAAGATATTTATTGCCAGGTAATAACCATAGGGGAGCCAAACAAACGAAACAGTTATAATATTAAATCTAACTTAAATTTGATTATAAAAGTCAGGTTTAGAAAACTGTAACTGATCACACAAATTGGGCTAAGAAGGCTATACCGAGAGAGAGAGCGAGAGCTGGGTTCTCACCACTCCGTGAAGCTTGAATCAATTGGGGGTCCCGGGCAGTGGTGGTAGCTGAGGGTCCGGAGTGCTGGAGACAGGCAGAGCCCCCAGCACGATCAGTCAGGAGAAGATGAAGTCCCAATGCAACTGATGCAGATTTTGGATTCAGGCATCAGAACACTTACTTGAGCATGGGTAGCGGTTTTTATAGGGAAACAACAATGGTTCACGGGAGAACACTAGATTTATTTATGGGTAAACTGACGGCTCAAGGGAGTATACCAAAGTTGTTTTGTTCAGGCTAGACAATAAGATCTGATCATTCCTGGCTATGGACAGTGCTCCTTGGAGGGAGTTCACAATGCAATTAGGGAGCTTCACTATTTTGGATACCAATAAAGGATTTATTACTAGAATTGGTCTGATAACTACTGAGCTGCGTGTATGCAGGTGTGGGTTCATTAACATCTGGAGCAGAGATCCCCCATCATGCAGCGCTTCCCTGCTGTTCTGGTCCCAGAGTTCCATGCAGTTCTTGCCTTGGAATCTCTGTTCTTCATGCCTCCCTGTCCCATCTTCAATGCAAATGATACTAGGGGAGTTTCCTTAATCCTGTCACCCTTGTCTCAGGGGTTTAGGTGTGTCTCCAACTGCCTTTTCATTGCTTTTTGTAAGTCTTTCTTCTGATTGGTTTTGGTTCAAGCCGAGGCTGGGGGGCAGGGAAGGTCTTTCGTGAGTCAGACAGGCTGGGTACTGTGCCCTGGTTCGCCACGAACACAGAGCTGATGTAGTTTACCATGATAACAGGATCCCAGCATATAATACAGCTTTGCTGTTCAGGTCAAGATGCTGCATTGGGTCCATCTCAATCAAATGGTTAGGGTGCCTTCATGGTGGGGATCTCTCATTTTGTACCCCTTAGTCGCACCTTTGCAGCAAACATGCAGGTTACTACTCCAGCTTGTGCATTTTGTGTGCAGTCCTTGAGTTTAGATAACTCTTCAATGTACCCCTGAGGCAAGAAACCCACCAAGCCTTGAATATCTAGTTTCAGGTAGACTTCAGTGTATCCTGTGGGTTGTATTACAAGACTGGACTCTGCTGGCACCTAGATATTTGAGGGGGCATGGGCGGTTGTGCAAATGACATAAATGCAAAGATAATGTCTGTCTAGTAGAGATGAAACTCATCCAGTCTGCCGAGATTGGGGACAGAGACCCTGGTTTTGCTATATGCTATACAGTACCTAGTATACTAAATAGTGAGCCCTTAAATCGAGAACCATGTAAGTATTTAATTTACTGCAATAACCTTCCCCTGCCCCCCTTGAAGCTTTCTAATTAACAAACAGACTATCTGGGTCCCTTTTGGTTAACTCCTTAAACAGATGGGGCCCGTTTCATTAGTAAAAACTACCCCAGGATCATTGTTGTTACCAGGACTACTGCAGGTCTTCTTGCATAAAAGGGTGGAGTAGGGGGTTTTGGAGGGAGAGTGAGGATGGAGCGGAGTTTACTTTTAACCCTTCAGTGTATGATTATGTTGCCTTCCTTATGGGTAGCCTCGGCCGGAGAGGCCTGGTCCCCTCCCCCGTGTGTGGAGCTGGCGATGACACAGCACGTAGGAGGCGGCGCTGGGAGTGCCCATTGGCGCAGGGAGAGGAGGATGGGCACAGCCCGGCGGCAGCCTTAGCCTCAACGTCCAAGGGGAAGCGGAGGCAGGCTCGGCGGCAGTGGCAGGTGCCTCGGCGGCGGTGCTCTCCCTGGAGCCCGGCAGGCCGACGGGCAGCAGGATGCTGGAGATCCAGCTGGACGATGGCGGCGTGGGGGGGTACCCGGGGGACGATTACTGCTCGGGCTCGGTGATGTCGGAGCGGGTGTCGGGCCTAGCCAACAGCATCTACCGCGAGTTCGAGCGGCTCATCCGCTGCTACGACGAGGAGGTGGTGAAGGAGCTGATGCCGCTGGTGGTGACTGTGCTGGAGAACCTGGACTCGGTGCTCACCGACAACCAGGAGCATGAGGTGGAGCTGGAGCTGCTGCGGGAGGACAACGAGCAGCTGCTCACGCAGTACGAGCGCGAGAAGGCGCTGCGCAAGCAGGCAGAGGAGGTGAGCCTGGGCCGCTGCTTGACCAGCGCCTGCGGGCCGGGCCGGGCCGGGCCGCGCCGCGCCGCGCCATCCATTAGGAGCGGGGGCGGGCTCTGCGCCAGCCGCTGCGGGATGCCTCCAGGGATCGGGCTGGGAGAGGCCTGCGCCACCCTAGCCAGGGAGCCCGCACCGCTGGTTCCCCCCCTCCTTTATCCTCGGCACCCGGTCATCTCCGGGGGGCAGCCTGGCCCCCTCCGAGACAGCAACCAGGGTCTCTCTCATCCCCGGCGCGGCCACGACCTCCTTCCCCAAGGACCCCCGGGTACCCTGAATTCTTTACCCCACAGCTGGGGGCTGACTCAGCCAGTTTGCTCCTCCCACCCTAGGACTCCCTTTCCGGCTCCAGTGCAGCTGGGATGGGAGAAGAGGGGATGGGTGCCAGCTACTTTCCGAGGAGCACAGTGCCATGGCAGAAAAGCATCTAGCTTGTTCGGGTACCAGTAGCAAAGTGTCATTGCTGCATCTAGCGTGGGAACTCTCGTTTGTAAACGTTAGAAGAGGAGCCAAGAGCTCAAGTAGCTTGTTGTAGGGGCAGTGCTGTGTCTGCCAACTGTAAATGAGTGCGGTGATGGAAGTGGAGCTCCATGGATTTTAGCTGTAGCTCAGGAAAGCTTATGCACAAATAAATTTGTTAGTCTCTAAGGTGCCACAAGTACTTCTTGCCTGAGCCACTCAAAGGGATTGACAGCTGTGAGGTTTGGTTTAGGGTGAGGTAACTTGATCATTTGGTTATATTGTCAGTCTTTTAACTGTAGGCTTGTTGTTGAGTCATATCGGGTGAGTCCTACATTGTAGGGGGCAGAAATGTTCTGTGGATTGGCCATAGGCAAGGCAGGAGTAAATCTTTTCTCTTATATCGGCAGGCCCTGGTTCCTATCTCTCTTAAGTAAAATGTAGACGGTCAAAGTGTTTTCATTCCAATCTCTAATAGTGATTCCACCCCCCCCCCCATACACACACACACATCACATTAGCATGCAATATGGACAAACTTGGGGATGAAGGCAGGACAGGGAAAAGCAGTGGTGATTGTAAAGAAGTTTGACATGCAGTGGGAAGACCTAATAATTCTGGAATATCTTTCGACAAGAACACCTTGTTCTACAGCTAGGATGCTATCAATGTGTGGCATACATCATGTATTTTTAAGTGTTGTCTCTTAGCTGTGATTAGATATACTCCTGATTTCATTGTTCCAGAGCCATAAATGTTCTTGACAGCTGTGACCTTACATTCCCTGCAAACATATCCTGGAGACTTTTACCTTAATTTTTAAAGTGAGATAAGATCAATCAGACAATCGTCTTTTCCTTTGTCCCTGAATCTAGGATTGTATTGTGTGAGTAGGCAGGATCCATTGAAGATCAGTATGAAAGTAAACGAAGTCGAGAGGTCAGCATTTGGTGAAGCTTCGCTATTAAAATAATTGTTGCCAACTTAAAAGCAAGAAAGAGGAGAATAAACTAACAAACAAAGTAACTGGGGTTCCGTGAATTTGAAGAATGTAGTTTTAAAAAATAACAAAATAAACCACTTGAAACCTATGCTGCTAATATTTGTTTCTGATGAGAACAAAGAAATTTAAAAAATCAGTTTACTTTTTATACTTCACTCAGTTTGGTTCAACAATGGTAGTCCGTGTCACTTCATTAGGCTAGTGGCTACACAGTGATGTAATGTTTGGAAATGCTTTTAAATCTAAACAATAAGCTGTTCATTTGGAATAAAAACAACTTTCTCAAGATATTGGTCTCTAATTCTGAGAATTTATTTTTTACCAGACCTACACTTTGGGCCTTAATAACATGGCTTCTGCAACCCAAAATGTAAGGTTTGCTGGCTGCCAGTTCCACTCTTATCTTAAAAAGAAAAGGAGTACTTGTGGCACCTTAGAGACTAATAAATTTATTTGAAAATAAGCTGCTACTCTGAAACTCTTATCTTAGTCATGTCTAGAGCAGTGCAATTAAGTTGATGGGGAACAGCCTGGAAGTAGCTCATGAGAGACACAATCACCTGGCTGAAAGAGGAGCAAAATTCCTTGATCACTAAGACCCAACAGGAGCCTGGGAGGGAAAGAATAGCTCAGTTCCACACCTCCCTCTTGCTGCCTGTGCTCCTGCCACTACTAATTCCAAGAGCGGCTCCTCCACTTTTACAGCTCATCCAAGCACTCTGTGGAGCCTTTTCAAAACAGCAGTCTCTGAACTGTAGGGAATGAAATCCATCCAGTTGTATCAGCCCTTCCCTCCCCCTCCACCCCCCCAACAGTCAAATTATTGTCCCTTAATTAACCCAGGATCATGTTGATTTATTTTTTACCATTTTGGACAAACTTCTGTTGGTGAGAGAGACAAACTTTCACGCCACACAGATTTGGTCCAATAAAAGTTATTACCTCATCCACCTTGTGTCTGTAATATCCTGAGACCAACATGGCTACAGCACTGCAAACAAAGATATACTAGATCATTCATGTTATTTCACTTTTAATCTTTTTAAACTATGTCCCCCCCTTAATTTTACAGTTTGGTGTGAACTTTAAGTATCTCATGCTCAAGGAAAATGTGTGCATTAGTATCAAAATTATATCATTATGGAGTTATTTCATCCTAGGGTGACCAGACAGCAAATGTGAAAAATTGTGACGGGGTAGGGGGTAATAGGAGCCTATATAAGAAAAAGACCCCAAAATCGGGACTTTCCCTATAAGATCGGGACATCTGGTCACCCTACTTCATCCTGCTTTCAGAGATTTAGAGTGTTGGCCAGCTTCGTTGGGTGTAAGTCTTCTCCCTAGAAAAGTGATTGGAGCTGAGGGCTTGGAAAACAAGAATGTTTCCTAACATGTTTAAAGAAGAGAGGGTATCATAACTCCATCTTTTCCTTGCACCGCTGGTTAAAGCCTCTTGAACTCCATAGAACAGAACTCAGATTGGCACATATCAATGGTAGGTCTAACTTTCCAGTGAAAAGCTTTTATGCTCTGCTCTCTTGACTGAAGTTCAAGGTTTATAAGCAGCATCCACTGGAAAATTGCCACCAAAAAAATCCATTTTGATTTTAAATGAGCAATCTCAGCAATTGTGACTTCTTATTTCTGAACAGTAAAGTTCGCTTCTTGCCTAATCAAACTTTCAAGCTGCTACATTTGAAAGGTTTTGTTTGCATTAGCTAAATAAGGATTAGTTTAATCCTTTGCTTTTAACTTTAGGAGTCAGGCTTGAAATACCTGCTGAAAACTCAGCTATTTGTATTTTGCATTACATGCCCTTTAATTCACTACCAGAAACGTGTTCGCCAAGCCATCAGAGTCTCAAAGATTTCTTCTACTTTCAAAGCCCCTGTCCGATCTGACACTGGAGCTGGTGAGGACCGCTCCAGAGTGGGCCTGTGATGTGACATTTTCCCTTCTATTAGCCCTAGAACCTGTTAACAAGTTGATTTTAAAATATAGCCTGCTGGAAGCTACTATCTTTGAGACCTCCTCTTGATTTCTTGTGTGTGTTTCTGTGCTCTGATCCCCTCAGCCTTTTTAAGGGTCTAGAATGGCGATTGACTGGGCCTTTGCAGGGGTTGCCACTAATATGTGGAACTCACTGCCCTTAAGCATGTGGCCACCATTCCTTCCTAGTTCCCACAGCCAATAAAAATATTACTTTTCAGGCATGTGTTTTTGTAATTTTAGGTAGCCACCATTTAGGATTTCCCCGATCCTCCTCTTTCTTTTTAAAAAAAACAAAAACTTTTTGACAATTGACTATTTTGTTCTTGTGTGATGATTTATGATATCTCAGTTGTTTGTTTCTAAATGTTTGTGGGGAAAAATATAAATGTATCATTAAATCCTATTGGAGACTGGCCAGTGGTTACTTTAGGTCAGCTTTTCAAAGATATTTAGGTGCCTTAAGATACAAATAGGCTCCTAGTGCAATTTTCAGAAGGGCCTAAGCAAGTTGGCAGCTTTTGAAAGTCCCACTATGCTCCTATCAACATTTGTAGGTGCCCAAATACCTTTTGAAATATGGCTCTACCTGCCCTGTTGAGGGACACTTTTATACACTGTCTCCCCTATCCCCACACTCTAATTTTCTTGTAAGGTATCTAGGAGACAGTAAAAAAGTTTGTCTATTAGATTGTAGCTATGGTGTATACTCAAAGATCTGTTTCTCTCCCTTGTGACTTTTTTTCTTAATTGTCTTGGTTTTTTCTGTCTTAGTGATGTGAATCTCACAGTCTAGGAAAGAACTTACTCTTGCCCCATCCTGCAATCTGACCTCAGAAATAGTTGCTTGATGTAAATTTCTGCAGATTGGTGGTGATCTCATACCACAAAAGACGAAAAACATTCTAGCAGACTCTATATAAAAAGAGACTCGGCCCATCATACTATACTAATAACTAAGTGCCATTCCCTTTATATTCTTCAGACCCCTATTCACCCGCTCCTGTTGGTTGCAGGCATTGACATGAGTGAAGATGAATAGGAGAGATGGGTGCATTGAATTTCACCCACAGAATGAGCAGCACAATCTCTGTGTTTATGTTGTCTTTTGAGTTCTTTTGTTAAACATTATTGTTTTTAATCTTTTTAGTCTTGAAACAGGATGGCTACTGATCCTGGAAATTTGTTGGAAAACACTGAGAAATTTCTCTGAGACTAGATTTTTTTTTTTCCCTGCTGAATGTATAAATGTTAAATTTTTGAATTACGACACTTTCCATCTGACTTGTTATAGACTTCAAACGTAAGCAGATTTTGTGACCTGCTCTTTCAACTAATCAGAAATAAAAAGGAGTATGACTGAGTGGCTATGATGGGATGGTCTAAAAAATTCCAAGTGTTGGTCAGGTATTTAACATAGTATCTTCCTATCTGTCCCTCTAGTCAGAACTGTATTTGGGTTTAGAGCTCACTAGGTTTTCACAAGTTATGATTAAAATTCAATACTGGATGTAAT